TGAATCAAGAGGATATAAGAACTCTGAATAACCCAGTATCAGTCAATGAAATTGAAAATGTAATGAAAAAATTTACCAACAAAGGAAAGCCCAGGTCCTAATGGATTCACAGCTGAATTCTACATGAAATTTAGAGAAGATTTAATCCCAATACTCCTCAAACTCTTCAATGAAATTGAAAAGGAAACAATACTCCCCAAATCATTACTGGAGGCAAGTATTATACTGGTATCAAAAGCAGAGAAAGATTCAACCAAAAAAGAGAACTATAAGCCAACTACCCTCATGAATATAGATGCAAAAATCCTCAATAAAATCCTACCAAACAGAATACAGCAAATCATTAAGAAGATTGTATACCATGACCAGGTAAGATTCACCCCAGGGATTCAAGAATGGTTCAACATACGCAAATCTATAAATGTAATATGCTATATCAATAGAGCTAAATCCAAAAGCCACATGATCATCTCAATTGACTCAGAAAAGGCTTTTGACAAAGTCCAACACTCATTCAAGATCAAAACCCTACAAAAAATTGGAACAGATGGCCTCTAACTCAATCTGGTAAAAGCCATCCATGGCAATCCAACTGCTAACATAATTCTCAATGGTGAAAAACTGAAGTCTTTTCCTCTCAGATCAGGAAGAAGACAAAGATGTCCTCTATCACTACTCCTATTCAATATAGTTCTGGAATCATTAGCTAGAGCCATTGGACAAGAGAGATAAATAAGAATTAAAAATAAGTACCTAAGGTAAAAGAAATATAGGTGAAGAAGAAGTTTAACTATGATTTTTTGCAGATGACATGATACTCCACTTGGAAGACCCAAAAAAATCCACCAAAAATCTTCTAGAATTTTTTTTTGGTGGAGTTGGAGATTGAAATCAGGCGCTTGCACTTGCCAGACAAGTGCTTATTCTACTGAGCTATCTCCCCAGCCCCCTTAAAATCTTCTAGAATTAATAAACAAATTCAGTAGCATAGCAGGATACAAAGTCAATACCCAAAAGTCAATAGCATTCCTCTACAGATATAACAAATACACTGAGAGAGAAATTAGGTAAACAATACTCTTTATGATAGCATCATGGAAAATGAAATACTCAAGAATTCATCTAACTAAAGAAGTAAAAGATCTATCCACTCACCCTGGAAAGAATGGCTAACGTGAAGAAGTCAGCCAATAACAAATGCTGGAGAGGCTGACCTCTGTTACTGGTGGGAGTGCAGACTGGTACAACCACTGTGGAAATCAGTTTGGACATTCCTTAAAAAGCTAGGATTGGAGATGCTTTGAAGCTAGCTATTCTTCTCCAGAATATTTTTCCAGAAGAACTAAAAACCTCATACCCCAGCGATATATATGCACCTATGTTTATAGTGGTCATAGTTAAATACTGGAAACAACCCAGATGCCCATCAACTGAAGAATGGATAAAGAAGATGTGGTATTCTTATTCAATGGAGTATTATTCAGCTATGAAACAGGATAAATCTGAGTCTTTTGTTAGTAAGTGGATGCAACTAGAGAATCTACTCTTGAGTGAAATAAATCAGGTCTGCATGTGCAAACGTTTGTCTCCTTAGTGTGAGAACCTGAAAGAGAAAATGGAATCTGAAGGCTAAAATAGATACTGGGAAAAGAGAAGGACAGGGAAGGGAGTCGAGGAAAGGTATTTATCTATGTACATAAGAAAGATGGTTTGGACAACTGTATTGTGTATTTTGCTGGTTTATGGAAATAAGTAGTCAATGCTCTAATTTATTTTGTTTCCTTGTTTCAATTGTTTGTAGTTTTTCTTTTTTAAATTTCTTATCTATTTCTTTTTTTCTTTCCTCTTCCAATTTTACATGCATATATCTGGTAATATGAATAAGTGGTTGGAAGACAGCAGTGTGTATGACAAAAATATTGTGAAATTCATATTACTTTAAGTGAAAAAAACAGATAAAAGAACTTGATATACAACAACTGAAAAAAAAAAGATCTATCCAGTCAAAACTATAATACTCTGCAAAAAGAGATCATGGAGGATTTCCAAAAATGGAAAGATATTCCTCCTGGATAGGAAGAACCAATATTGTGAAAATGGCCTTATTACTAAAACTGCTGTACAGATTTAATGAAATTCCTATACTACCAACATACCTCACAGATCTAGAAAAATCATTCTTAAAATTTATTTGGAACCAGAAAAGACTTAAAATAGCAAAAGTAATCCTGGGCAACAAAGGTAAGGCAGGAGGCATTACAATTCCTGATGTGAAATTATACTACAAAGCTACTGTGATAAAAACAGCATGGTACTGGCAAAAAATAGACCTGAAGATCAAGGGAATAGATGAGAAGATGCAGATACAATTACAAACACACTCAGCTATCTTATTTTTGACAAAGGGACTTAACATGTTCACTGGAAGAAGACAGCCTCTTTAACAAATGGTGTTGGAAAAACTGGCTCTTTGCATGCCAAAAAATAAACCTAGACCTGGATCTATCACCATGCACTAAACTAAAGTCAAAATGGATTAAAGATATAAACATTAAAACAGTAACACTAAATCTCCTGGAAGAGAAAGTAGGAGGAACTCTTGAAGATACAGGGGTAGGCAGAGAGTTCATGAACAAAAATCAAATTGCAAGGGAAACACTTGAAAGAATTAACAACTAGGGCTTCCTCTTATTGAGAAGTTTTTGCCCATCAAATGAAATTACCAATAGAGTGAAAAGACAGCCCACAAATTCAGAAAAAATTCTTAACTAGTAATCACTCAGACAAAGGTCTTCTATCTAGAATATATAAAGAACTAAAAAAAATTAGGGCCCCAAAATTTAAAGAACCAATCCAAAATAGGCATCTGAGATGAATGTACATTTCTCAGAGGTAGAACTACAAAAGGCAAATAAATACATGAAAAAATGTTCCACATCATAGGCATTCAAAAATGCAAATTAAAACAACATTGAGATACCATCTCACCCCAGAAAGAATGGCTATCATAAAGAAATCACCCAACAATGAATGTTGGAGAGGCTGTGGGGAAAAAGGAACCCTTCTCCACTGCTGGTGGGAGTGTAGACTGGTGCAACCGTTATGGAAATCAGTATGGAGACTCCTTGGAAAAGTTGGTCTGGAAATCCCCTTTAAACCAGCTATTCCTCTGCTGGGAATTTTCCCAGAGGATCTGTGAAACTCTGCTATGACATCCTGTAACTGAGTGAGTTTCCGATTTCTTTTTTTTTTTTAATAATTTTTATTTATTTGAGAGAGAGAGAGAGAGAGAGAGAGAGAGTGGTGTGTGTGTGTGGCCAGCTCAGCCCACCAGGGGGCGGGGCTGGCTGGCATGTGGTGCTGGGGGATTGAACCGCGGTCCCTGATGCTTTGCCAAGCTTGTTCTAAGTAGGTGCTTTAGACCACTGAGCCATCTCTCCAGCCCGAGTTTCCGATTTCTGATCAAGGAGATTATAGGACCACAGAGGAAAGTGATCAACAATGCGTAGTGTGCCTAAGGAGAGTCACTTGGAGAAAAATATCTCTCAAGCTTTTACAGAAAGCAACTTGGTTAAGCAATGGCCATGACTGATCCAGGTGGCTACCACTGACACCAGATCTAAGAGGTTCTCCACATGGTTCCAAGGTGAATCCTGAGGAGATTTAATAGACCTTGTTAGCAAAAAGTTATTTTTTTATTTATTCGAGTCTCACCTTAACTTGGTGTTAGCCATCCAGCAGAAAAATGTAACCCTGAGATGTAAAAAAGCAATGCCATAATCATATGCTGAAGGGTAAAAGGTTCAAATCACTGACAACTTCTGACAACTGCCAGGTGCACTGATAACTCACTACCCTTATGGACTATTGAACTTCTTAGGGTTAAACTGCAGTATACAGGTACCAAAATCCTTGGAGTGGCATTAAGTATAAAAGTCTTCTAAGGCGTTCTCCAAACACAACTTCTCCGGCCGCAAGGGAACACCCATCATCCACAAAACAAAACAAAAAAGGGAGATATGTTGGTAGCACTGAAGCTGGAAAGGGCTCCTGTGTGGGAGAGCAGGATGAGGCCTCACTGCCTAAAAGAGTCAAGCTACCTCAGTCTTGACAAAAACATCCTGCCTGGACATTGTTGGCTAGTAGTGAGTAGGCAACCTTGTGTCTTCTAACTTTCCAAGGGTATACATAAAGGCCTCTACTGTTGTTCTGGGGGCATCTGCTTATCAGGCTTGGTCTATCACCTAACCTCAGCTATTATCTCTTGTTTTATTTTCTGAATACTCTTACAGTTTTCTCCAGGGGACCCCTTAGAAACCACAGAACCTTATAGAACACCTTTGTAAATCTCTTCAGAGAAGAGAGACTAGACATATAAGCCTGGAGCAGGAGTTGGGGACGATGAGCTGAGGTGTCTGGGGACTGCAGGCTCTGCAGGGGAGGAATCATACCATCCTCTCAGCCCGGCAAGGGCCCCCGGCTCTCCAGCTCCCTATCATCCTGCCAGAGATGCCTGTTATCATCAACCAAGGGCAGTGTATGTGGTGAGGAGGGGGCTTCTGGATCCAGACCTGTCTTTGCACCGATGAGGGGGGGAACTGAGCCCACAGAGGAAGTTTCAGCCAAGATCCCTGGGTCAGGTACTAGGACACAGTGCCCTCAGTCCACTGGAGCCTTGATTTGGGCCCCACAGGAGTAGGTGCTGAACCAGGCCCAGAATCAGCAGCAAACAACCTTGCCCTCCCGACCTCATGTCTATAGTTGTGAATGCACAAGTCCTGCGTGGTACTTATACCCAACTGGCGCTCAGTTTACCAGCTCCACCTCTACCTCCATCCCTAAGTATGTGCCCCCTTGAGGAAGGTGTCATCGTCCTCAGAGGACAAAAGCTACAGTAGGGAAAAGCGTTAGTGAAAAATCTCAGGCATGGAATGGTTGTCCAGCTTTATTTTGTGCAGTGACTCACTTTTAATCACATGTCTTGTCCAGCAACAGGGAAACAAAACAAGTGGGCTCAAACACCCAATGAATACAAGGGCAGAGAAAACTAGGTTCTATGAAAGACATGGCAGTAAATACCGAAACATAGGCCTTGGGGAAGTTTGGACTGTCTGGCATGGCAGCATGGGCTTCAACCCCCTTTTCCTCCAGAACACTCGGTAAGAAATGGGGGCCCAAAGCGCCGCATGGTACGTAAGAGCAGGGCCAGATCGTTCAGGAATTCGTTCAGCACTGTCTGGAGGCAGCCTTGGTCCAGGGCAGCCCATTTCCTGAAAGTGAGAAAAAAAGAAAAGTCCAGTCGATAGTCGGGACTCTAACCTTGGCTAGAGCCCGTGCCTGTTTAATCCTAACACTCAGGCACCTCCCTGTGTGCATAGACATTCCCCTGCCTGTACTTGGTCTGCACTCCCGTAACCGCAGCCCTCCGAGGACTGACACAGTAAAGAGGCTGCCATCCACGGCGAGCTCCCTGTAAACGTCAGGATTTTCTCCAAATTGAGCCAGGGCTCTTCGGGCGCCCTCAGCTGCTATGGGAGACAAGAAAGGCACACTGATGGTGCTGATGGAGAGAGGTTAAGGCACAACCCTGTAAGGACGGCCCCACCAGCCCCTAGGCACTCCTTCCTTGGCAGCTCTCAGGCTGCCCTGGGCCCACCCCCCCTCCTTGAGCCCCCCACACCTGCTCTCCGTGCCCAGGCCCCCAGCCCTGCCCCTTGTATCTCAGGGCACCTTGGGCCCCTCCTAGTCCTCTGGCTCTGGCCAACCCTCTCCTGGCCCCTATTCTTGCAGCGCTGCCCCCAGCTGAGTCCCAGCTCCACTCCTAAGGTCTCCCTGGTCCCCAAGGCCCAGGCCAAAGCAGCCATGTTCCCAAGGATACAATCGGTGCAAGGTCATTCCTGCCCTGATGGCCGCCAGCATGAGATCCTCAAATGAGCCTGGCCCACGAGGTATCCGGACAGCCCGGGAAACAGCTCCTGCATAGGCTCTTTCATTACCAGAGACTCCCGTGCCACGCCAGTCACGTTCTCGGCGTCCACGCCCGCCGCCGTCGGGGGCCTGCATGGCTGTTCCCCTCTTCCCCTCAGAGCCCGGCTCCAGTGCACCGAGGACTAAGTGCTCCTCTGGTGACTGAGGCAGTTGTGAGGCTCCGCCCCTTTCCCACCCACAATGCACCATGCGATACCCACAGCGCCTGCGCAAAGTGGTCCTCAAAGCAGCTTTCCTGCAGAGCTGGCCCTGCAGTATGAACTCATGTTTGCTTGCTAGGCAGACAGCAGTGCCTCACAAGACCTTGCCAGCCTGCCCCAGGCCAGTGCCAATGCCCAATGGACCCCTAGGTGTCTGGTCCCCTCCAAGCCGACCCAGCCCCGAGTCCCAGAGACACCTTTTATTGTAGAGGGATTGAAGGCTCAAGGAAGCGCTAGGGCCTGAGTTCAATCCCCGCCCCCCCCCAAAGGACCCAGTTCAGCAATGGGAAAGTGCATCAGGCCCTCCACAGCCCCGCAAGGGGGCAGGGCCTGCCTGGTTCTTCCACACCTTGGGAAGCTACTAGATCAGCGGTGCCCGCAGGGGTCTCCGCCAGTGGGCTCTGTACAGGCCCATTTCCCCTCATCGCGCTCTAGGGGAGGTGCCAAGCCTGTCAGCGCATCCTGTCCACCACCTCACCACAGCCCTATGAGGGCCAGGCCTGGAGCCCCACTTGGGGTTGTGGATCACTGCCAGTGCCATCTGTGTGGGGGCTTAAAGATTTTTCATCCCAGTTACTTCTGTTTCTTCAATTCTGTGTCTCTAAGCTTACTGTAACAATCTGCACATGGACATATAATTATTCCTGTCTCTAAAATCTTCAGAATTCTTAGGTGAATATCCTTGATCCACAGAATTGTATTAATTATAGTCAATCTTTGTTTTCTCTTCGATCCTTTTTTCTCTCATAATTATTTCTTTTCTTCAGGAAGGCAGAAACAATCAATTAAAATCCTACTTGATTCTTACTGGGAGACCTTTGGCAAATGGTACCTCTTGTGCAATGTGTGTGAAGGAGCTGAGAAGCTGGACGAATTTTTTTTAAATGTAATATTTTGGCCAGGTATGGTGGCCCACAACTCTAACTTCAGCAACTGGAAGGCTGAGGCAAGAGGATCGCAAGTTCCGGGACAGTGTGGGTGCATAGTGAGTTCAAGGCTAGCCTGGAGTACAGAGCAAGACTGTGTCTAAAAACCCTAAATGCATAAGTAAATGAAGTTTAGTGTTATGGCAATAGAGCTACTTGAACTATAAATGGAACATTACTTGCCCAGCAGTGCAAGAGCCTAAGTTTGATCGTCCGCATGAAAAAAATGGAAGCAAAAAAGTGGATGATTTACAGAATGAGTATTAAACATCATGGGTGAGGAAAATCTCCAGAAGACCATGGCAACCCTACACACATGCAATCATGCATGCAAGCAGCGGGTGGACTCCACTGCTTTCTGGCCATGAGCCTCCCATTTCTCGCATATAAATGGGGACAGTCATAAGGATTGAAGGGAGTAATGCCTATAAAATTCTTTAGCACTCAGTAGGCAATCAGTAAGTACTAGGTTCTTTTTCAGTCTCTATAACATGCTGTGTTCTGATGCAATGATTCTACATGACCAGACAAAAGAGGCTGAGAAAAGAAGGTGTCCCAAGTAATTGTTGTTCCTGCTTTTGTACTGATGACATCTTGCTTGCATCTCTTTCTTTCTTTAAAATAATCAACTGTGTCTTTAAGAGCAGATTTAGATTCAGAGATACATGAAATGTTCAATTTTAAATGCACTTGGTTTTGCATAAATCTGTATTTCAGAATTTGCTTTTCTGTGGCCAGGAGAGTTTACGTGTCTCCTTGGATATATGATAAAGTCGCATCTGCAAGCCAGTGTTTCTCTTTGAAAAATTTCTCCTTTTCTCACAAGTGACAGGGTTGTACTAGGGCTGGGGATGTCGCTCCGCGGTGACTGCTTGCTGGGCATGCATGAGGCCCTGGTGTGACTCCCAGTACTGCATAACAAACGCAAGTTGATTCGGAGAACCCGGGGTTGTCTGGAGGACGCAAGAGAGGGCTGGGGCTCCGCAACCTGGCCGCCTCTCCTGCCGCACCCTGGACGGCACTCTGAGCTGGACACCGAGAACTGGGTGGCAGGCCACTGCAGATGTCCCAGCACTTCGTGGTCTTCCCACGCTGGTTTTAAACAATTCACGCACCCCATTTTTGGGAAACAAGGAAGAGGCTGTGCACAGCGTGAAAAACCATGGCAATTAACCATGGATTCTTCCAGGTAAGTGATACTACCCACCTTGAGAAAATAAAATTTCTTGAGTAGAGGTGAAAACAAACCCAAGTCCTTCAGTAAGCCTTCGTCTGTCAGCCATGACCAGCAGTGATGACTTGAGAGTATTCTTTGCTTTTGGACAGGGTCTCACTCTGTAGCTCAGGCTGGCCTTGAACTCACTCTGTAGCCCAGAGTAGCCTCGAACTCATGAGGATCCTCCTGCCTCAGGCCTCCGAGTGCCGGGATGAAAGGTGTGCACCGCCAGCAATGCTGGGCTGAGAGCATTTAGTACTCCAGTGCTGTGCAGAGGAGTGAACTAGGAAGCGGTCTGTAGAGTGGCTACTGAGCAAGTTCTGTGAGCCCCTCGCTAGAGACAAGGAGCAGAGAAGCAAATCCTTCCTGTGCTGGGGCTCACTGAGGCAGCAGGACCTGCATGAGCCTTGTGTCCTTTGGTTGCAGGGCAGGTGCATTCCATAGCCAGAGGCCCTACCGTGGCCTCTGCCCAATCCTCCCTTTACTATGCGTTGATATTTCCAAGCAGTTCAGCCCCCAGGTGTGTCCCCTTTCCTGGCTCCTCACCCTTCCCTCTGCTTCCTGGCTACCATGCTGTGAGCAGCTGCCTCACCCAGCCCTTCCCCCACTCCATTTCTGCCCTGGAGCCTATCACCCATGGACTGTAAACATGAGCTAGTGCAAACTGCTCCTCCTTTCATCTGTGTAAGGTAAGCAGTACTCCCTGTCCTTGGTGAGAGAAGAAAAGTGACTAAGGAACAGGTAGGGCCAAGCACCCGTAATTGTGCGGGGTGGAGGAAGGCCCCGTGAAGACAGGGATCACACACTATACAGGTTTCGGCTGGCTCTGCAATAAGCTTGGGCTGAGCAGGAAGACCTTTGGGAGTGGTGGCTGAGGCAGGGGAAGGATCCTCAGGCCTGGTACTTTGAGCTTGGGTTCTGCTTCCAGCTGCAGCACATGCCCACAGGAGGTCCATTTCTCTTGCCCCCAGTGAAGCCAGTACCTTGAGAGACAGAGGCACATGTAAGAATGACCTCAAGTGCAACATCTAGCAAGTTGGAAGACGGGAACTTCAGTCCTAAATCCAAGGAAAATACCAAATCCAACTGCTTGGGAATTGCAGGCACAAGGCTTGTAGGGGGATCCAGGGCAGGTGCGGCAGAGAGCCAGGCCCCACACAGGTACTGATGTTGTGCAGGCTGCTTTGCTGATGTACCAGCTGCTGTTCCCTGAACAGCACCAGATGTCCTTGGCTCTGTAAATGTGGAGAAAAGATACTAAGTAGCACGTCATGTGGCTTCCCAGGAATAGTCAGCCTTGCCACTAATGACTAAGATGTACAGTGTTGTTTTCCAGGGAACAGGAAGACAGTGAACGGTTGTTTTACCAGAGAATAGTTTGTGACACATCAGGCAGCTTCCAGTGGAGGGGTCATCTGCAGGGAAGGTGGCAGGAGCATGGCAGGGGAGGGGCATGGCTCAAGGCTGGGTCCTCCAGAATCCGTGGGTGTCCAAGCCAACTGAAAGGACCTAAAGGCGAAGATTTCTTTGGCTTGGCCCTACTCCACAAATGAGGGTCGTAAACAGCAAGAATATGGGGCTTTGTGGGGGCCACACAGCACTTGTTGGCTGGCCGCTGTACTCTTGGCAGTCATGGGCTGGGATGACTTGCATTAAGAGACATCACAGTACAGCTCATTGTTTATGTTACTCCACTGCAGCAAAGTCTAGTCTTGTTGGACAGCAGCTTCTGCTGGGATCATAGACGTGGGCCACCATACCCGACTTTGTTTCTGGGAATCTTAATCCCACACATGAGAGTCCAGCTTTTAGGATGTTGTGTTCCATATGGGGGGACTGAACACACACCATGATTTTGCATGCCACAGCCTTGTGCCACATCTCAGGTAGGCATCTGGGTACATGTGTGTGTGAGACCACCCCCAGGGAGGATTTAGGGTGCCTTCCCCTTGGACAGGATGAAATGAGCATCGTGTGGCTGCAATCCAATAGCCTGTGTAAGATATTTGGTGGTCTATTTCTGGGGATGGTCACCCTGGGGCTTGTGGGTAATGCAGTAGTTCGAAGCCTTACGCTTAAGATTTGGGGTGGCACATTCTTTTAAGTTCTTTCTGAGACCCTGGAACATATGAAGCACCCAGCGAATTGCAGGGTCCTTTTTTGGTGTGGCAGGCATGTGTGGACTTCTATGGATTTTATCACTCCTTCGCATGTGGGTAGGTTCCTGGGTACCTCAGGCCTTTGCTTGTGAAGAGTCTTGGGATCATCCTGGATGGGAGTCCGTGAATATATATGTCTCCTGAAGGGCTGGTGTGAACTTGCAGAGAGTTTTCCACACCTTGTGCTTTGTGGTGGTATCTCAGGGAGCTTTTCTGCTACTACAGTCATGGGTGTAGCTCCTGAGCTATGCCCCTCTTCTGGAACTTTGCTGTGACCAGAAACTGTCCCTCCCATGAACCAGATACAACTTTCCCCAATCTGAGGTGCTCATTTTCTCACCTAGCCCTGCCACTCCCACGCATTGGTTGTGGCACCCACTCCTGACATCTCAGGCTAGTCTCCCCCTCCTACATCCATTCCTCAGGTCCTGTGGGTACCCGGCACCTCCTTCCCTATGATCCAGGGCCAGGTTCCCCCAGCTGACATTGCCCTGGTTATACAGCTCCTCATTCCCTAGAAAGGCTCTACCCCTCCGCTGAACTACCATGTGGCTCCCAAACCTAGGGTCCAGGGCTAGACTCCTCATCTTCCCCATTCCAGACCTTCTCCACTAGACATGGTGCTCCCTTGAAGATGGCCCAGGAAACCTCAGCTAATGTCCCTGTGTTCAAGTCTTCTCATTCTCAGAAGAGTTTGGGCTATCTCCTGGCCAGCCATGGTACACCCAAACCTGGGCGTCTTGGCTAGGCCACTGGCCTACTTGACCAAAGCCACACCCCTTCTGTGACTCAACCCAGAGCAAAGGTGCCCTATTCATGTCTCTCCTCTGTCCATTAGTAGGTTGCACTCCAAAAGTGGCCAGCGAGTCTCTAGCCTATTGAACCCAAACCTGGAGGTCCTGGGCTAGGGCCCTCCCCTCCAGAGTCCAGGCCACACCCCCTGACCAGACATAGCCTAGAGCACAGGTGCCCTGGCAATGCCTCTTCTGAGTCCCCTGCTAGGCTCTGCCCCTCAGGTGGTCCACCTCCTGATCTTAAAGCTGAGGATCCAGGCCTAGGCTCCTGCTCCCACAGATCAGAAACCAGACCCCCTGGTTTGACCAGGCTCAGAGGGGAGATGCAGGGGCCATGTCTCTCCTTTCTTTCTTATCAGGCTCCTCCACCTCCCGAGAGGGCATCACCAGGGCCATCAACTTTCCTGACTCTTCTCACTCTGACCCCCTTTGTGATGCAGTATGTCTCCATTCCCCTGCAGCAGTCAGGCCCCTAGAGGAGTCACAATACAGCACGGGTTCCTATCTCTCCTCCTCAGAGGATAACACTCCTTCCTGGGCTTCTAACCTCACCCAGGATTTAGGCACTGGGTGGGGTGGGCCATGACAATCCAGCATCCTCACTGTCCCTAGGCATCACCTTCCCCCAACCCAGTGCAAGCCACACCAATCCCAAGGGCTTACACTTCCAGGGTCTCACCCACCCTGGGCCTCAGCAAGCCAGCTCCTCAGTTTCTTGCCAAACCTGCCCAAGGCCTCCACGACCCAGGCCTCTCCTTCCCACCCATCCTGCCTCAGGCCAACCACCTTCCCCCTAAGCCAGGCCCATCCTCACCACACCAAGCCCTCAGCTTCAGGCCTCGGCTGGATTGCCAAGTGGTGGGCAATTGCTAAGCCCAGGTGAACTGAACTAGCCTGGGGCTGGGAGGGCAGCCTGCCTGTGGCTTTTGGCCAGCAGTCTAAGAGGCAGAGCTAGAGAACCTGCGGGGAGGCGGGGAGGTCAGCCGGTGGGTGCTGTGAGAAGCCAGAAGGGTCTGCTGCTTCTCTTGGAGGAGCTTGTCCTGCTGGCTTTCCTGATGCACTCGGCTGGCCTCCCTCTCAGAGGAGCTCGGGACCTCACTGTCACTCAGAAGGGCCACGGCTCACTTTGGGGCGCTCTGCTCCTCGCTTTGAGCATCGCTTGCTGGCTCTGGAGGGGAACAGGGTGGCCTGCTCAGTCTTCTGAAGGAGCCCGCCCCGCTGGCTTTCCTGCCGGGAAGGCAGCTTCCCTCCTCCTCAGAGGAGCGCTGGGCCTCGCTGTTGCTGAGGTCCGCTGGTGGGGAGCTCTGGTTTCTCCTTTGGGGGTCGCCTCCTGGCTGCAGTGCACATCGCCTGGCCGGCTAGCCCAGGTCCCTCGTCCCGCTGGGCCGGACTCTCTAGCTTGCACCACTGACCTGTGGGCCTATCCACGCCCAGCCAGGAAGCGGGCCTGCAGGAGGCCCTGTCCTGGCCTCTGGGCCTCCAGCTGG